CATTCGTAGCTGTCTAACTGCATAGTGTCTAAGTATAGCCAGTAGGTCACATGGGATAACAGAAAGAGGAGGAACAGGAGATATATCCAAGCGAAGAAATGTTCACACGCACGACCGCATACCAGACAAAGGAAATGTTACCGAAGAAACTGAGAGAAGAGAGTGTGAGAGCATAGACAGACACCCGAGTTCAGGTGCTGAGCTTTGGTGGAATGGCAAAAAAAAAAAAAAAAAAGGTTGATTTCATGAGACTAGACAAAACAAACAAAATTTCACCAGGAATGTTCATCAAGATCTTTTGGAGACGTGCCATGAATGCCAAGAACGAACAAAACCGCAAAAAGAGACATGAAAAAGGCCCAATCTCCCCAAAAAACGCCATGCCACTCGGAGTACCGGGGTATCAAGAGAGAGAGAGTTGAGTCATTAAGCTAGAGTTCTGAGGAAGAGGTGTAGGGGGGAGAGGGAGGCAGGATCAAATTGCGTCTGAGCCCGCATGGATGGGATAAGAGAGAGGTTAGTGGTAGGAGGACATGCGGATGGGAGCACTTATATCGCGCCGATCCCGGATAGAGCCATCGCTTCGGGCTTCTGTGTGATGAAGACCAGGGATTCGCCGTGCAGATCGGACGGGAGTGACGCCCATCCCGCCGGAGCGCAGGGCACTTTCCCCAGCACTGATGGAGCGCTTCATCGTGCTCGTCCTGCCTCGACGCGCTCGGATCTGTGCCAGGGCCTCTTCCCGGCTGATGGGAGTGCCTGGGACATCAGCAAAGCGATTGGACGATGACTCGTCGCCGGCTCGTAGGGGGATTTTCCTCAGGTCATCGTGCACTTGAGAGTTTCTGGCACCGTGCACCACGGGCAACACAGGATCCCACGGAACATCAACGACTACTGAGGACCGGTGAGCTTCAGGAGTTGAGGTTGGGACAAAAGCCTCGCTTTCCATGATGGAATCATATGGTGTCTCATGTCTGTGGGTAGCATGCTTGGAGACAGGACTACCTGTCATCGCTGGAGCTTCAGCTTCGCTCTCAACTTCTGCCAATGGTGAATGTAGCGCATTCGCGGGGAGCTGCTTCCGTGGAGATCCTCGGACAGGCGAAGGGATCGTGTGGAAAGTGCCCGTGGCAGGCGAAAACGTGATAACAGGCTCCTCCGCAGGGTCATCGTCGTCATCTTCAGCATCTTCCACAATCTCTTGCTCGAACTCCTGAGCCTCCTCCAAGTCATCATCATCGTCCACTGTCTCTTCCAGATTCTCTTGTGTAGCGAAACCAGCAGGCTCGCCGACGGGCGTGTGCGATTCCACCTCGTCGTTTGTCGGGACGCCAATGTGATCTCCATGTTGCTCAGTACAGTGTTCGTGCTCCTTCTGTTCGGCTGCCTCGACTGTCCCCGCTTCATGCACATGGTCGATTTCCTCTGACTCGGTCAACCGGCATGAACAGCGCTTAAATTGACACTCAAGTTTGAGGAACTCGATTAAATCTTCGGCATCTGTTCTTAGCTGACGCTCGCGCTTGAGGATCCGTTCGAGTTCTTCCACCTTGTCATGGTCCGCTGCTGACACGGTATGTTCCTGGACTTCTTGTCGGGGAGTGAGGTCTGATAGCCTCTGTCGCTTCGGAGGAGTTTGGTGTGCAGGCGATGGCTTCGTGGCATGGACCATGGGTGAGTTGACGGAATCTTCGGCCGACCGTTTGGGTCTCCGAGGCGTAGGGGTGAGCAGTAGGGCGAGATCGCCTTCCGCTAAAGACATTCGTCCGGCGCCCTCTTGGCTAAGCTTGAGGGTATGGGCTTTTAGGCTTCGCGACTTGATATTGGCCTCCGCAACGCGTAGCTGCTCTTTGAGAACCTCCATTTCCTCTGTAAGACCGGCGAGGGCGTATGCGCGCTCGAATGCCTCCTGTTTTGCCTGCTCTTTGGCTCGGCGCTCCGCCTGCGCTTCCTCTTTGAGGGCTTTGGCCTCTGCCCGGGCATGTTTCAGGTCCTCCTGTGCCTTGACAACGACCGAGCCAGCGCGGAAAGCCTCCTTCCTGGCTTTTCTAATCTCCTTTTCGAAAACCGCCCTCTCGTGAGCTTGGCGTTCCTTCGAGGTTTGAAGTTCTTCGAGCAATGATTCCAGGCGTTCACTGATACGTCGTTCGCGAGCCTGGGCTTCTGCAAGGTCTGAGTTGGCATGCGCCAGAGCAGACTCTGCCTCTTCGCGTCCTAGGATGGCGCGCTGCAAGGCTGCCGAGTTGCTAGCCGTCTGTTGCTGATGAGCGTGGGCGGGACTGTTGCCTCGCGAGGAGAGACCGTTAAGATAAGCGACCTTGGATTGAACATCGGAAAGACCCCTCGAGTGTGATCCTCGGAGGTTAAGGATGTTGGAAGTCAATGAAGAGTTGGGGGTGAACTGTTGATTCATGCGTTCGGGCGATAGGGGGTTCAGGGCCTTCGTCGGGCTCGAAAACGGGGAGTCCATGACGAACAGCCTGTGTGTTATGAGGGGGGAGGGGGTTGTGATAGTCAGTAAAGTGAGAATAGCAGTCAGTCTTCGGTTCAGAACATGACAGTCATGCCCGAGAGGGAATGGATGACACCGGGTCGACGGTCAGACAGACAGACAAACGGACTGGGATTGAAAATGAACCCACTGATCTCCTCCTATCGGTGACGCACCCACTCTTTTCCCGAGTCCCGCTTGTTTGTTGCCCGCCGCGTGATCACCTGACCGTTGCCCAGGACAACACACTTTAGCCGAGTTGGGCAAGCGGGGCTGCTAGCCTCAAAAAGGGAATGGCCTGTGCTGGCGGCGCATCGAAGCTGTGTGATCATTGATGCGATGAGGTTAAATGCCCCAGTCGTCAGATTGGCTAAAGTCTAGGCTCATCCATGATTGTCGCCTGCAGCGCTGAGTTTGACAGTCGAAGATATTCCATGAGCGAATGCTCCTGACGTATCCAGGCATCAGATCAATCCCCCATTTACGTAGTGCGAATCGGATTGAGAATTGAATATGCATGAGATTATCACCCTACAGCTCGGTCAACGAGCAAATTATCTGGCTACCCACTTCTGGAATCTTCAAGTATGCTTCGACTGTGCCTGACTGAAACCCTAACCTGGAATCCAAACTAAATCGCCAGCTAGGAATCTTACTTTACATACAATGAGGATGAAGAGTCCCCCGTAGATCATGACGTTCACTTTCGACCTGGTGTCGCCGCAGATGGTACAGAGACCTTCACTCCTCGAACTGTGATCTATGATTTGAAAGGCGGCTTTGGCACTCTGCGCAAATACAATGCCCTCTACCAGCTGTCAGAGGATGCCAACCCCGGTCAAGGACTGTGGTAAGTGGTCACCATCGCCGGAAAATCCGTTTCCAGGTTTTTAATGCTGTGATGGTGCAGGGACGGAAAGGAGGTCCTACAGCAACAGACCCCCATCCTTCAGAGTGATTACCAGAAGAACCTGGATGCAGGACTACCCGCTCCCACGCTATCTTCTGAGACGGTTCGATACTGGTCAGACTATAATCGTCTCTTCTACCACCCCCGATCAATTGTTCAGCTGAATGAGTACGAGCTGAACTCCAAGATCATGCCATTTGAGGACTGGGGAGTAGGGGAGGACCTCTTCCACGATCTCGACAAAGAGCATGATTTGTTAGATCGGGACCTGAGGCCCTTTGCAGAAGAGTGCGACCAAATGCGCGCAATCCAGCTTTTCACAGGCTCAGATGATGCATGGGGTGGCTTCGCTGCCCAATATGTCGACAGAATTCGGGATGAGTATGGCAAGAAGGCAGTCTGGGTGTGGGCTGTAGAGAATGGCCGCAAGGTTGACCGGGTGAGTCTTGATTCCTCTTGTTGGCTGGCCTGCACCATCCTCGCTGACCCCGGCAGCAAACCCAATACAAGCGTGATCTGAATAAGTCCCGGTCCATCTACGCTATTGCTCCTCAAGCCTCTCTATATACGCCTATCGTCGACCCGCCTAGCCGGCTGCCGTCAACAATTCATATCGACCCTCACTCTGAGTGGTACACTTCAGCACTGATCAGTTCCGCCTTGGAGAGTGTGACCCTTCCCACCCGTCTTCGCCCGTATCACGACTTTGAGGCCTCATTGGCAGGGGACGATGGCGTCCACAAAATCTTCGAGCTCCAGTCTACGATTGTGCCAGATGACGAGGTTGCCGAGCACTCCACTCAAGGACCTAAGGCCCACGCCGGTCAAGAAGAGAACACGGAAGGCCCAAAGCCCCAGACGAGATTCGAACTAGACTTCACATACAACGGCCTGGGCAGCGACACAGCTCATATCTTCAATCAACTTCAAGTGTCGCGGGGCATAACCACCGAGCGGAAAAGCCAGTCCTCGGCCGAGAACGTGGGTATCGTGCGCCGGCAACGACTCTACAATTCTGAGCCCATGTTCCAGAGGTGAGGAGAAAGAGCTCATAACCTGTTCACCAAGCTAAATACTGATTGATCATATCGATAGATTTCATGCGCCGCTGGCGTTCCCTATCTTGGATAGCTTCCCTCACAACATGTTCACTCTTCCCCAGGCGAAGGAGAAGGTCCAAGTGCTTGCCGCGTTGACTGCTTCCTCGCGGACGGCCGAGAAGCTTAAGGAGCTAGAGACGCTCGCCGGGCGAGTCGCACGAGTGGATGAGAGAGAGGCTCTAGTCAACGGGTTGGGTGAGATTCGGGAGTCGTATGAGACTGGTTGGATGAGCGACTCCGACTTTGATGACGACTAGACGTACGGAGTAGCAAGCATGAGACAGGGGAAAAAAATATGTGCTGCATAGTATTGCATCCCTAGTGCATGGCGTCCGTAAATACAGTAGACCCTGGAATTGGTGGGGACCCGCAGTGCAAACAAAGCGGGCGGTGTGCGGTGTTTGCATCATTCGGCCGGCCAAACGTGGCCTCTCCAATCGATTCATCGAACATTCGACTGGCATCTTTCTTTTACTACTCTGTCCTTGTTCACCATATTCTTACTGCCAGGTGGCCAGTATTCTAGAGTTTCGTTATCTTCTAGATGGCTCTGCGGAGATAAAAAGTGCCTTAGGTACCTCTCTTCTGCCCTCTCCTTCCATAGGTTGCTTTCGCCTTTCGGTAACCTCATCTGCCGTCATAGTTCACTCACTACCACTAGCTTGCTAATTTCATGTCACTGTACCGATAGATAGACTGTCACTCGCTTGCAACGACCATATCAACCAGAGCACATCTGGTCACAGAGCTAGAGCTCGATAGATGCCAAGCGTTGCATTAAAGCGCCTCTCGAGGGTATGCGACCCTCCGCCGCAATCTGCTGATTTGGACGGGTGCTGACTTGCGTTCTCAGTAAACTCATAGATCATGGCTTTCAGAAGCCGTCAACGAACATATGGCTCCCTAAAGTCGCTCACATCCTCTCCCGTCCTCTCCTTCTTAATCGTTCCTTTCCTGCTGCTCTTTTTGAGCTTCCCGGCTCCCGCTGCTGCAGCGGGATCCGCCGTTCTCGGTCTTGATGTCGGCACAGAATATTTCAAAGCCGCCCTGGTCAAACCAGGAATTCCTCTAGAGATTGTTCTCACCAAGGATTCGAAGCGCAAGGAATCAGCCGCCGTTGCGTTCAAACCTACCCGTGAAAGCGATGCCCTGTTTCCTGAGAGATTCTACGGCGGCGATGCCCTGGCGCTAGCCGCCCGGTACCCGGACGATGTATACGCCAACCTGAAGACCCTGCTCGGACTCCCCTTCGATATCGATGACGAAACGATCAAGACATATCACAACCGGTACCCTGCGTTGCGACTTGAAAAGGCCCCCGGCGATCGTGACACTGTTGGACTTCGGAGCAACCGACTTGGCGAGGCAGAGAAGAAGGACGCCTTTCTCGTTGAGGAGGTTCTTGCCATGCAGTTGAAGCAGATTAAGGCCAATGCCGATACCCTGGCTGGAAAGGGATCCAACATCCAGGATGCGGTGATCACCTACCCCTCATTCTATACCGCGGCGGAGAAGAGAAGTCTCCGCCTGGCGGCAGAGTTGGCAGGGTTGAATGTCGAAGCGTTCATTAGTGATGGTCTTGCTGTCGCTTTGAACTACGCCACCAGCCGCACTTTCCCCAGCGTGTCGGACGGAGAGAAGCCCGAGTATCACATTGTGTATGACATGGGCGCTGGCTCTACCACGGCCAGTGTCGTTCGCTTCCAGAGCCGCGCGGTCAAGGACATCGGCCGTTTCAACAAGACCGTCCAGGAAGTTCACGTCCTGGGTACCAGCTGGGACAAGACACTTGGCGGAGACTCTCTCAACGACCTGATTGTCGAGGATATGATCGCAAATCTGGTTGAGGAGAAGAAGCTGACAGGCCGCGTCACCCCGGCTGATATCAAGGCTCACGGCAAGACCATGGCAAGACTCTGGAAGGATGCCGAGAAGGTTCGTCAGGTTCTCAGCGCCAACACTGAGACTGGGGCTTCGTTCGAGAGCCTGTACGAGGAAGAGGTCAACTTCAAGTATCGCCTTACCCGCTCTAAATTTGAGGAGCTTGCCGCGCATCACATTGCCCGCGTTGGAAAGCCTCTCGAGCAGGCTCTGGAGCTTGCTGGTTTGCAGATGAACGACATCGACTCTGTCATTCTTCACGGCGGTTCAATTCGCACGCCATTTGTGCAGAAGGAGCTTGAGAGTGTCTGTGGATCAGCTAGCAAGATTCGTACCAGCGTCAATGCTGATGAAGCCGCCGTGTTCGGAGCTGCATTCAAGGGGGCAGCTCTCAGTCCAAGCTTCCGTGTCAAGGATATCCGTGCCAATGATGCGTCGGCCTACAGTGTTGTTTTGAAGTGGACCTCGGAATCCAAGGAGAGACAGCAGAAGCTTTTCACACCCACCTCTCAGGTTGGACCCGAGAAGCAGGTCACGGTGAAGAACCTGGATGATTTTGATTTCAGCTTTTACCAGCAAGTTCCCCTCGCCGACAGCGTTGCTGAGACTCCTGTTCTGGGTGTGAAGACGCAGAACCTCACTGCTTCTGTTTCCAAGCTGAAGGAAGACTTTGGCTGCTCGGCTGCCAACATTACCACCAAGCTCACTATCCGCCTCAGTCCTGTTGATGGGCTTCCCGAAGTTGTAGGTGGATCCGTCAGCTGCGAAGTTGAAGGAGCCAAGAAGGGAAGTGTCGTTGAGGACGTCAAGGGATTTTTTGGTCTGGGCAAGAAGGATGAACAGGCTCCTCTGGGTGAAGAGGGTGAAGCCAGCGAATCCATTACACTAGAACCAGAGGAACAAGCTTCGACCACCTCTTCGGACGCATCCACTTCTACCACGACTGCCAAGGAATCGAAGAAGAGCTCTCCTCAGACCAAGCTCGAGATCATCCCTGTCAGCTTCACTACCACCCCTCTGGGGCTTCCTGCACCGTCTACGGCTGAGCTTGCTCGCATCAAGGCCCGTTTGGCCGCATTCGACGCTTCGGACCGCGAGCGCTTCCTCCGTGAAGAGGCCTTGAATGAGCTGGAGTCCTTCATTTACCGCAGCCGTGATCTCGTGGAGGATGAGGAATTCGTCAAGATGTTGACTCCTGAGCAACTGATTACCTTGAAAGAGAAGGCCGCTGCCGCCAGCGACTGGCTGGACGGCGAGGGCGCCGACGCCAAAACTTCACATCTCAAGGAGAGTCTCAAGTCCCTGAAAGACATCGTCAACCCTGCTCTCAAGCGCAAGAAGGAGAGCGCCGACCGTCCAGCCCGGGTTGAGCTTCTCCAGGATGTCCTGAAGAACGCCAAGACCGTGATGGACCTAATGGAGAAGCAGATTCAACAAGATGAGGACCTTCACTCGTCGAGCGTCGTCGCTAGTGAATCCACCGAATCGAGCTCGTCGCCATCGGCAAGCGAGACTCCCGCCCAGCCTGTGGATCTCGATGAGGACCCCTACGATACCTCCTCCAGCAGCAGCACCTCTTCCGCTCCCACCACCACCGCAAAGCCCAGTGGACCGAAGTACTCTATCTTCCAGCCCTACGATCTCGCCAGCTTGTCCAAGACCTATGAGTCTACGAACACTTGGTTCGAGACTCAAAAGACCATCCAGGAGAAGCTTACTGCCACGGATGATCCGGCCTTCACCGTTGCTGAGCTTGATACCCGCCTTCGTGAATTGGAGCGCGTCATGAACCGCATCTACGAGAAGATGGGTGCGGCAGCAGCCAAGTCGGGCAAGAGTGAGCAGACCAAGAAGAGCAGCAACGGCAAGAAGGGCAAGAGCAGTACCAAGAAGGAGCAAGAGTCGTCGTCGACGACGACGACATCTGCCGAGGCCAAGAAGAGCAACTTCAAGGACGAGTTGTAAGCCTCTGGCCGGTATGGTGCTGCTACATTGTTCGAGAAGTATGGATGGAGAAAATGGTGGGGAGTTAAGGTTGAGCGTTGACATTTTGTAACATTTTTTTTTTCCCTAGATCTTTCCAGCTTCAAAACCCTGTATCATGCTATGCTGGATAATTGCATGCTTGAGTCATGTATTGTACTTTCATAGTGGCTCCAGAAGAGGCTTATCATACTCTACGAAGGCTAACTTATTCACTCTGATACTGTACTGTATTGTTTCAGCGCTGGTCTCACCGCCTGTGTCCTTCTGGACCAGTGGATCATCTGTCCTCCGCCCAGCCCGTATTCGGGCAACCTTGGGACCCCCGCAATCTGGAACCCCACCTCATTTACTTAGTACTAATTCCCCCGCATGGCCAAGAGAGTGATATACAGAGCGAGAAGAAGAAACATCGAATCTGTCCTCAATTATCGCAAGCCAGAGATTTGGGGCTCAGAGTATCCTTATCAAGTACGTGAACCCGTGACCCTCAAGCGATCAGGCGCAAAAGCAACCGAACTAACCTCCGGACTACAGACGAGAGGACCTTCTCTACACATACTAATCTAAAGCACCACCACTTCTTCAGCACCCATTAGACCAACCCATGCTCCCCCAGCATCCCCCAATCAGCCCACTCCCCCAGAAACACAATGGCCTCCAAGCACACATCCATCCAAACCCACCAAATCACCCCGGAAGCCGCGGCCGCCCTCCACCACCTGCAGGGAGTCATCGAGACCGCCCCGGTAGCCAAAGTCGAAAAGAACAAGAACATCATGTTCGCAAACCACTTCCTGGACCAACACGCGGCGCCGTTGCTAAAGCACCTAGAGCTCGAGGTAAGCTTGCTTGCTTGCTTCCTTCCTTTGCCTTCCCCCCCCCTCAATTTTACTAAAATCCAGACTCTGTTTGCCTGACGGGGCCGCAAGGGCAAAACGCACCTCAGCTACATGGCGTGGAAGATCCTGGCGCGCAACACGATCCGGAACTCCACGGGCCCGCTGTACATCGTCCCCGTCCGGGTGGTCACCGGCACCGAGCCCCGGCTGGTGCCGAGGGACGCGGAGATGAGGCTCGCCCGGGACCCCGCGCTGGTGGTGCGGTTGGTGCCCGGGTCGTATGTGTGTTTCGATGGCGCGGTGGATCTGTTGCCCGGGTTGACTTGTTTAGTTATTACGAGGGTTAGGAGGCGGGGGTGATGGTGTATTGTGCTGTACGAGTGTATGTATATTGGTTTTTGGGGGATGGGGGTTGTGGGTATGGATGGGTATGAGGGAGTTCGGGGGTTTAAGGTTGGTCGGAGCGTTTTCTGTCTTTCTTTCTTTCTTTCTTTGTTTTTTTTTTTTTTTTTTCTATTTCATTTCTTTTGTTTTCGCTTGGGAATTGGAAGTCAATACGAAGCACACTAGCTATACATGCGACTCGTTTTCTTCGATTGGTACTCGTGATGATGAGGTGAAGGAGGATAAGAATATGTACAGTACAACAAATCCGGCACCCAAAAGTCCATCCCACACCATAATAGCATAGCCTAGACCCATCATAGCAAAACTCCTGCTAAACCCTTTCCAGCATATCATCATGGCCCTGGGCCTGAGAATCACTGGAACCAGCCAGTAAACGCCCCCTCGACAAAAAAACTAGATACAAAAAAGACAAAAATACAAACAATGGTAACGCTGGCTAAAAAACAGAGACAACCCCTTACGGAGCACAACATCATGATCCAAGCCCTTCTTCCCACCTCCCAACCTTCTCAGGCAAATATTACCAGCCAACTACCGCAAAATCAAACACCCCCCATCTCCACCTCCCTGCACACCCCCAGAGACCCATCGAACTCATACCCGTCCACCTCCTCCCGACTCCTCAAAAACGCCGGTTCCTCGAAGTCAGGCCCGAGTTCCACGTCAGCAGTGCAAGCACCACCCCGCCCGGTAACCACAAACCGCCTCCGCAGGGTACCATTGTTCTTACTCCGCGGCGCGAGAATTGTCCTCCCAGGAACCGCAGCAGCAGCAGGCTCTGCCCGGGAGGTCTGCTGGCCCCACGTCTCCGCGCCGGGGAAGTCCTCCATCTCACTGTCACTCTCATTGCTGTCGGCGCGGTAGGAATCGAAGTCCCCCCGGCCGCGCTTCGTACCCGTGAACGGGGGCGAGGAGGCGGAGGAGGTGGACTCCTGCGAGCTGGCGGGGAGTGAGAATGCGTCGCCTTCGTCGGTGGTGATCAGATGGCCGGACGGGTCTTGGTCTTGGTCATGGTGGTGGTAGGATGGCGGGGCCCCGTAGAGGAGGGCTTTGCTCGACTGGGGGTGGTGGGTCTTGTAGCCCTCGGCGATGGACTTGCGGACGCGCATGCCGACGGAGAGGAGAGAGGCCTGGACCTTCGGGGCGAGGGTCGGGGTCGGGGAGCTGGTGGAGGTGGAGTAGTGGTTGTGGGTGTGGTGGGCGGTTTGCGAGGGGTGGGCGGTCGGGTCGCTGGCTGTGGTGAAGAAGCTAGTGATCGGGGGTTGGAAGCGGCGGCGTTTGGAGTTGGGGTCGTTTGTTATGGTCGCACTAAGAGTGCGGTGGATTGAGGCTGAGGGTGACATGGTGGGATTTGACTTTTGTGAGTATTTGGTGGGCGCGACGGTGGGTTGTGAACCTGTGATAGAGAGGAAGAGCCCTGGGTGGTGGGGTGTGGGGTAGTTTGGCGGGCGGAGTTTTGTTGGAGTAATTGCTTAGATATAATTAAAGGGCGTAAAAGAAAGTAAAGCCTACTATGGACACTATGGAGTAGTTGTCCAGTTGTTGTAGCGGGGGAGTTGAGAAGAATGGAGAGGAGAGTATGAGAATGAGATGAAGAAGAGGAAGAATGATGCAGACGGCGGCGAAGGGGGAAGAAGTAAATTGAAGGCTGGGGTTCTTCTTTGGGTCGCATCCCGCGACGCGCTTCCGACGCGCTGCTTCGGAGTCCGGCACGTGTCACATGTCACGTGTCATGTGCCATCCTTAATTTATCCCTTCTGGGACTAGTTTGTTACGGCATACTATGTAGTACTATTTACATGTAACTTAGTATACTCGATGTCACATAATCACAACATGCTATCGACTATATTTCCTGTCACTCACCCTTGGTAGAGGTCTCTGTTTTCCAGACTTGCCACCTACGTGATACTGCCATCTATCTATGGTCAGACTAGAGATTAAAACCCAGAACGCTCTCGCCTCCATGTCATTATTTATCATGAAGTCTCATCGGAACAGGATTCCGCGGAACGACCGATTCTTGAAGTCACCATGAAGCATTGAAGTTACTATAAAGCAAAGGTTCTTCCACTTCCCTCTCTCCTTCTCTTCTCAGCTGAATGTCCCAGGTACTTCACCACATCGTAACAAGGAGATCACTTGCTTCAAACTGCATGCGATGCAGTCTGAGAAGCATAGTGACCATCACCCGGAGTACTTTCGAACCCCAGATCGCAACAAGGCGATAACCTGCTCGATGATGAACAAACCTGCATGTGATGCAGTCAGTCTGAGGGGCACGCTGTCTCTATTCAACTACAGCAAGAAATCAGCCGAGGCTGAGCATCATCCGCGTTTCTCTTCTCATCACTGGCCTGGACCTCAGAAAGTCGTAACTGTGGAATCACTTGCCTCGATGATGAACAAACCTGCATGCAGTGCAGTCTGAGGGGCACGGTGGTTCTATTCACATAAAGCAAGAGATCAGCCGAGGCTGAGCATCATCCGTGTGGTTCTTCATCATTGGCCAGGGCCTCAGAAAGTCGTAACGTTGGAATCACTTGCCTCGATGATGAACGAACCTGCATGTAATGCAGTCTGAGAGGCACTTTGACCCTTGGACACGCCAGCTGAAGGAGCATCATCCCCTAAACTGGGACTGACATGGATCTTCAATCGGAACAAGACAAAAGCCTGCATTGGTCGCTGCACTGCGCCATCCGACTGCTCAAAAACGCAAGGCGACGAGAAAAGATAGAGATAAGTCCAGAATGGAGGGCGTCCCCGGAAAGAGCCAACATAAATAGCATTGACATTGTCTAAATCATGATTTTTTAGGAAGTTACTATGGAACAACAACGGCACCGACGCCGCCTGCTCTTGCTCATCTACGATCGATATATCTCAGGAAGTTACTATGGAACCATAACGGCATCGGCATCGCCTGCTCTTGCTTAGCTACGGCCAGTGCACTGCGCTCTGAAACACATCCAACCCGGAAAAAAAAGCTCTTAACGTGCTCGTCGCACTGTCCAAGTGGACGGGCCTAGAAAACCCTTTTATGGTGCTACTGCGCGGGCAGGTAGACATCCTTGCCCAGCGGAAAGAGCTGTCGCCAACCGATAGGAAGATCTTGAGAAGTCTCCGGTGCATCAAGTTGTCCCACCACCTTTCTAGGTCTCACATGTCAAGTGATGGGTCTTTCGGGGGTTGACAAGAATACGAGAATGATTTCGCTGTCTACCTCCTCCAAGGGTACATCTTAACATACTTTCATCTGTGGAACGAGGCCGGAACGGCCAGATTACAAGCTGGTGTGCGAGGTCCCGGACGGCTCAGGCTAATTAGGGCATCATCTGTAATCCACCATGCCGGTGAGCTGGGGAGGCGACGTTACTTGGACACGATCCCTGAGACTTCTCTCATTCAATGAAACTCCTTTCAAGGCCCACAGCCGTACGTAGGGTCCTTCCCTGCTGGAGAGTCGGCTCTGCAGCTTCCAGCCCTAGCTCTGCGTCTACATAGCGTTTAGGAATAGACCCTCATGGGTATGAAAGTCACTTAGATACGCCCTAGTTACGCTTTGACTAGGGCACGGGAGGGACGGCACTGGCCTTTGCAAGATGCGGTTCGTCTGATCGCCCTTGCACAAATGCAAAAGATGAACTAGTACTGTACATCGAGCATGGTGCGATGGAGGCCACTCTTCCTAGAAATGCCGCCAGGCGTACTGCAGTATCTAATTGATGTGCCTTTCTCGGTTCGGAGAGCTCTACTTTCTGGCAGTCAATCTCTCCCCCTAAAGTCTACAGGGTGTTACGTAGCCTCACGTATACTGTCGGGCACCATTCGCATAAGCAGAGTAATATATATTTTGCAAGCTTCTCGACGATCTACAAAGCAGAAATAAAACAAGGGTATCATCAAGATATACCTCAATTGCCAGTGTTTCCCCGGCGACCACCACGCTTCGCCCGCTCCTGGTGCGCCTTCAGCACCGCCCGCGTTTGCACCAGACTGCGCTTGTTCTTGCTCTTCGCCTTGCCCAGGGTCATCAGGAAGTTCTTCTTGCGAGCCTTCTCCTTGTTGGTCGTACTCTTACCCTGGGCGTCCTTCTTCTCCTTGCGCTTGGCGGTCACACTCTTGTGATCGGCCCGATCGGTCTTGCCCTCCTTGGCATGCGCGATGCGTTCCTCGCGCGTGGCCTTGCCGGCCGACAGAGCGGCCAGACCCTCGATCTCTTCAGCCGTCAGGGGGTCGTCGTGGTGGCGGTTGCTGGCGGATTGACGGCCCTTCACGCCCGCAAGGGCGTTGACAGCCGCTTCGGTGCGTAGCTCCTGCAGCTTCGCCAGATCGGCAGGCGTCAGAATACGTGTAGCTGCCAGGCTGAGCTTCTGGTCCAATTCCTTCTGTGCCTGGGACGCTTCGGTGGTCGCCTCCGCGGCAGTCTCCGCAGCCGTCTCTTCATCCGACTTGGCCTTCTTCTTCGGACGTTTGGAGTCTTCGTCGTCGTCATCCGAGTCGCTTAGCTCAATCTCCGCATCACTCTGCACCTGAATCCAGCCATCGGAGTCGTCGCTGTCCTCGTCCTCCTCGACATTCCAGGCATCCCAGTTATCCTCTTCGTCTTCCTCTTCGTCATCTTCCGCATCGGAGGCCAGACCCTTTTCGGCTCTCTTCTTACGACGTTCCTCTTCCTTCCATTGCTCGAGCAGCTCGATGCCCTCGATACCGCCGGCCGCTTGCTCGGCGAAGCGTTTCTCCTTCTTTTCTCCTGACCGCAAGCCCATCGAGGCTTCCTTTCCACGGTCTCTTCTCTTGAGCCATTCGGGGTTGAGTTCGCGGAACAGACTGAGCAGACCACGAGCAGCCATGACCACTCCCTTGTCCTTACTCTTTCGGTACATGACAAGATCTTGCAACAAAGTCTCGTTCATCGCCAGGGGCTGGCGCGCGCAAATCTCTCTGATAGCATTAAGACCGGCGGATGC